AAACGTCAGCAGGATACAACACTAGTGATACAAAATCAGCTACAGACACTTATATGTTTCTGAGAAAGGTGACTCGATCTATTACGAATGAATATGTATATATAACATAAGCATTAAATTTGGATGATGATATAATGACCGTGCAGTGGCTTGTGGCTCACCCAAAATTTCAAAAAAATCCTGTATACATCGCTGGCGATTCTTACTCCGGTATCCCTGTTCCAGTCATTGTCAAGAAAGTTTCTGATGGTAATTAAATAATGTTTGATTGAGTTTCATTTCATCATGTGCATGCATTGTGCCCAATTGTTTGGCTGGCTGAACCAGGGGCTCTAAAATGGGGTCTATGTTACTAATTCTTTTAATGTTTATTTGTATTGTAGGTAACACAGCTGGAAATTTACCGCTAATCAACCTCAAAGTACATATTACTTTTTGGACATATTTTAAAATATTTTGTGCTATAGAAGAGGAATGAATGAATTCTGAATTTTGATGCAGGGTTATGTTCTAGGAAACCCGTTAACCGACTGGAAACATGACTTCAACTCGAGAATTAAGTTTGCTCATAGAGTAGGACTTTTATCTGATGAACTCTACGAGGTGATTCATTTATTACTTTTAGTTGCTTCGAAAGTAAATTAAAGATAAAATTTAAGTACAATATCTCTATATGCATTGTTTTCTAATACCCTATCTTGCTATAGGAAACTAAATTGGATTGTCAAGGAGAGTACGTTTTCCCAAATAAAAGTGAAGCTCGTTGTATTGAGGATCTGGAGATAGTGGGTTTGGTGAGTAAGAAATTAAAAATAATATATATATAAGAGTGGCAATTAAAATACACGTGTTTGATTTGTAGTGCTTAAAAGACGTTTGCAAGGGCATGGTGTTGGAACCAAGTTGCTCTCTCACTGCGAAGCTGAACAAAATGAACTGGAACCAGGTTGATCTCTCAGATGCTCTCATTTCACAAGTTAATCCTACTTCAGATGCTCTCCTTTTAGACGTTAACCATCCTGGGCGATGGTGCAGGGTAATATATATGAAGACTATAACTTACTCTTAATTAAAACACCAATCTCGATCACAAATTTGATGCTCTTTCTTGTTAACAGGCTAATAACTATGTGTTCATAGGCATTTGGGCTGACGACAAACAAGTACAAGAAGCTCTACATGTTAGAAACGTAAGTAAATTGACGATTGAGATTGTCTAAATTTGAAACACCTGCTCTAACAATGTTTGTGGCATGCAATTAATCAGGGAACTAAACAAGAGTGGGAGAGATGCAATTCTAGCTTAGCTTACGTATATGACATAAAGAGTACCGTAGATTATCACCGAAATTTCACCAGCGAAGATCTTAGAGCACTCATCTACAGGTGATGGTATAAATTAATGGACATTCCCTTCAATAATAATATATATAGCACGTGTGAGTGGTAATTGATTGGTAATATACATTTCTGACAGTGGAGATCATGATATGGTTATTCCGTATCTGGGGACCAATGAATGGATAGAATCTCTGAATTTTACTGTTTCTACTGATGGCGAGTGGAGGCCATGGTTTGTGGAAGGGCAAGTTGCAGGGTTAGTAACAATGTTGTTGTGGTCAATTTAATTTAACCAATAAATTTCATAACATTAATTGTGTGTGTGGTTGCAGTTATGCAGAGAGATACGTAATGAAAAAGTATAGCATAACATATGCGACTGTAAAGGTAAGAAAGTGATTTAATAAGTGAAAGGAACGGTGAAATGAATCTAATGCGATGGAAATTAATGTGTAGGGAGCAGGGCACACAGCTCCAGAGTACAAGCCGAGGGAATGCTTTGGCATGATTAGTAGATGGCTTGCTTATTACTATCTTTAGCGACCTCATAAGAAAGAACAGCATCATGATGCTATAATCACACAATTTCTACTTTTATCCACAATCCGGCATCTGTCTCGGAGAGAATTTAAATGCATATATTTCCCTTTCTAAACAAATAAATATAGGCTACATTTCATGTTACAACTTTTAATGTTACTAATTTAAGATTTTAATTATATTTTTTTAATCATGTTCCGATAAAAGGATAGCAACTAAAGAACCCTTAGTGATATGAATCATAAAAAATTTTAATCGTCGTCTTGACCTAGAACATTTGATGAACGTAATCTACTTTTTGTAAAACCTTTTTCATTTATATATATGGGTGTCATATTAAGGACACAAATCTTTTTCTCCAATCTTAATCCCTTGAAATACGTCTTGATTTTATTTCCCATAATGAGTCTATAAATCACATTTATAATCGTAATCAAATATGTGCGAAAATCACATGAGTGACCCTGAATTCAGCTTGCTTAATCGGATGGGGAGTTGGAGAATATGTAACCCTCCATGCTCAATCGTTAATAGTATAAAGAGCCTTTACTTGATCAATTCAATTAATTGGAAATTTGGAAGGTACACAGCCCTCCAAGCTCGAGCGTCAAGGGTGCGAAGAGTCTTGAGTTGGCTAGCTCAGATGATTGGAGAGTTGGACGGTACACAACCCTCCAGACTCGAGCACCAAAGTGCAAAGAGTCTCACTTGTTATGCCGAATTCATGTTGTTGTCAAATTAGTAATTACTCTCAAGATAATCGTGTTATTGAACAATTGTCTACCGAATGAATTCGATTTCAAAATAGTATTTTGTGCATGGTAGATAAAGATTTTAACATGTGTTGAGTAGTAGTTAACAATCAGTTTCACAAAGATTAATTCATGAAATTGGAAGATCAATTTTTAACAAAGTATTTTTGTTTTGTAATATCAAATATCTTATAAATTATGAGTCACATCTAATGTACTAATCCGATTTAGAAGGTAATGGGGCATCAGAAATTCGTCGATACGATAAAGACCTTAAATTGTTCTTCACGTCGAGAAATTAGAATTTAGTTGACCTTAAAACACATATTTGATACTAAGTATGTATTTTGGTGAAGACCTTAAAGTGTTCTTTACTCAAGAAATCAAAATTTAGTCGACATTAAAATGCGTCTTCAAAGATAAGGATATATGTTGCTGCAGATCTTAAAAAATTCTTAAAAAAAAGAAATTAGAATTTAGTTGACCTTAAAACACATATTTGATACTAAGTATGTATTTTGGTGAAGACCTTAAAGTGTTCTTTACTCAAGAAATCAAAATTTAGTCGACATTAAAATGCGTCTTCAACGCTAAGGATATATGTTGGTGAAGATCTTAAAACATTCTTCACACCAAGAAATTAGAATTTAGTCAACCTTAAAACGTGTCTTTGGCGCTAATGATGTATGTTGGTGAAGACCTTAAAACACTCTTCATGCCAAGAAATTAAAATTTAGTCGACCTTAAAATGCGTCTTTGGTACTAAGGATATGTGTTGGTGGAGACTTTAAAGCGCTATTTATGTCAAGGAATCAAAATTTAGTCAACCTTAAAATGTGTCTTCGATGCTAAGCGTGTACGTTAAGTAAGACCTTAAAATGCTCTTCATGCCAAAAATTTCAGAATTTAGTTGACTTTATAATGTGTCTTTAGCACTAAGAGTGTATGTTGGTGAAGACCTTAAAATATTTAGACATGAATATTTTACTCTGTTGATTTTAAACATTCTTCAATTATTATTATAATAATTCAAAACAAAGTAATAATTAATGTTCTATTATTAAAAAATTAAAAGAGTATTTAATTTTTAACAGGTAATTTATTGTTATTATAATGAAATGTGATAAGATTTTTTTATATTAAAAAATGTAAATCAAGTAGTGGGTGATTTTTTTATATTGTGAAAATCTCGGAACATTAAAAGAAATTATAATATTTGCATTGGTAAATGTTAAAAAACTTGTGTAAATTAAAAAAAATGATTAGAAAAGTGATTTGGTAAATTGAGATGAAAATAGAAGCGGTAAGAAAAAGAAAAAGAAAAAGAGGTGACGTAAAGAATTAAAAAAAGAAAAGGGTGAAGGGGGGGTGAAGAAGAGGGATTCGGAATGAGGGGAGGGGAGGAGCGATCGACGGGGATTCGGAAGAAGGGAAGCGGAGTGAGATCATGGCTTGTGGTGGAGGGCAGAGGAGAGAGCGAGGTGGTGGAGGCAGGGAAGCACGCAATCATGAGGCGGACGGGGCTCCCAGCCCGTGACCTGAGAATATTGGACCCACTCCTCTCCTACCCATCCACCCTTCTGGGCCGAGAGAGGGCCATCGTCATAAACTTGGAGCACATAAAGGCCATCATAACAGCCCACGAGGTCCTCCTCCTCAACTCCCGCGACCCCTCCGTTACCCCCTTCGTCCAGGAGCTCCAGGCCCGCATCCTCCGCCACCACCAGGCCTCCACCTCCCCCAACCCCGACGCCATCAAGATTCTCCCCTTCGAGTTCGTTGCCCTCGAAGCTTGCCTTGAGGCCGCCTGCACCGTCTTGGAAAACGAGGCCAAGACGCTCGAGCAGGAGGCCCACCCCGCCTTGGATAAGCTCACTTCCAAGATCAGTACTCTCAATCTCGAGCGTGTTCGTCAGATTAAGAGCCGCTTAGTCGCCATCACTGGTCGTGTTCAGAAGGTTAGGGATGAATTGGAGCACTTGCTCGATGACGACGACGATATGGCTGAGATGTACCTCACTCACAAATTATCTGATCACGACTTCGATACCTCTTCTGCTTCTGCCGAGGAAAATCTTCTTCAGCCTCAGCCTGATCCTGATTTAGATGACACCGACAGGCATCTACTCTTCTCTCTCTCTCTCTCTCTCTCTCTCTCTCATTCTTCCTCTTACCATCATCTTTCACTTTTTAGGACTGCTCCTGAAATTTCCTTTGATCATAATGCTCTCCACTCTGGAGACCCTATGGATGGCTTTGGCGCCTCTAACGTGCTTGGTAGGGACAGCCATGGAACCCGCGGGAGCGCTACCTTCAGTGCCGTCACCAAGCATCTTGATGTCGAGGAGCTTGAGATGCTCTTGGAGGCATACTTTGTGCAGATTGATGGCACCTTGAACAAGCTCTCTACGGTATCCCTTCACAAACGCTGCACTTATTTTTTTTTTATTAGACTCATTTTTCATTCTAGCTACACCTCCACCATCGGGGCCAATTTCACTCACTAACTTGTCTTTCAACAAACCATTTCATATACTTAACATACAAATTCACCCATAGCTTACACAGCTAATATTCAGGTCCTCCAGAGATAAATAAACTGATAAGCTAAGATAAATATTCAGCTATATTTTTTGACAAGTTTCACCTTTCAGAGATCAGCTTGACGGACCCCATATATTTTAGGCCTATTCATATATGGTATCAAATATGCACATAGTTTCAAATCTGTGGAACAACCTCTCCTATTTTTCAGAAATGTTGGGTGAATTGAGGAATATGGTTAGTAAGATGGATGAATTATATGTAAGGGAGTTTGGCAAATCTTGGGATTGAAAGCTTTAGGTTATGATATTGGAACATTTCTGGTCCAATATGGTTATCTTCTATAACATTTTGACATGATATAATTTACTAGCTACCTGAAGGAGATCCAATGTGGTTATCTTGTATAACATTTTGACTTGATAAGGGTGAATTGAAATTGACTTTTACGTTGCTATCACTTTCTTATTTATTGGTTGTCTTGTTGAAGCTGAGGGAGTACGTGGATGACACAGAGGATTATATCAACATCATGCTGGATGACAAACAGAACCATCTCCTCCAAATGGGAGTTATGTTGACCACAGCAACTCTGGTAGTGAGTGCCTTTGTTGTTGTGGCCGGTATTTTTGGCATGAATATTCATATTGAGCTATTTGACCAAGAAAAATCTGGGATGCCAGAATTCCTCTGGACTGTTGGCGGTAGCACTGCAGGGACCATATTCTTGTATGTGGTTGCCATTGCCTGGTGTAAGCACAAACGCTTGCTAGAGTAGCCAGGCATCCATTTGTGTTCCATAAAGAAATGTAATGTAATTTTAAAGTTGCTTTTTATTCATGTGCTAAAAATTTTAGTGCAAGACCATTACAGTATCCGGCTGCTGCATGTACTAAATCCTTCAGCTTCAACTACGTTGTTCTTCTTGTACATTATTTCATCGATAGAAACGTTAGCTTTTGTATACTTGGTTGCTTTGCAATAACAGTTTTGTTATTTGCACAAAAAATTCTCCAATAATCAGACTTTTCATCACATTTATTTGTTTTTTAACGTTGTTTCCCTTGCATTTTTAATTGCTTAGTTTTTCCCACCTTATTTGGTCTGTACTTACATATGTGAAAAGAACATTTCTCTTTCCTAATACTTGGGGATCATAGTCTAGTTGACAGTTTCGTTCTTTTAATGCTATCCTGGTTAATAAAAACTGACATCCTGAAAAGTGCACTTGTTTATGTCATTTTGGCCATCCGGATCAGGGTATCCTTGAACGAGTGGAGACGTTGAGCCACTGAAGAACAAAACAGATGGGTTTATGAAGATAATTGATGAGTTAAAATGATACTTGCATAAACAGACGAGTTTGAGGAGATAATTGATGATAAAAAGAAAAATGATACTTTACAGATAAACATACAAATCCCTAACACTTTGAACATTCAGCGCTTCTCAGTCTGACAGGAGTTTGTCAGGACATACTAGTAACTACAAGTATGGTTGCTTATTATTACACCCATTTGTTTTTAAAGTTGAGATAACTAGTGGCTTTCTTGCATATCCGAGGTATAATTGAGTTAGATATCTTACCAAAAAGTCAAAATGGTACGACCTTAATTTGTCAATGTGGGGGGGTTTTACCCACGACTGAGGGTTGTCATCAGAGGTGGAGCTATATGCATTTTGGAGGGGTCCAAATTTTTCTTCATTTTTGTGTGTCATTTGTTTTTCTTATTTAAAACAATTTTTTATTTTCGTCAATTTGTTGATTTTTTTTTTGTTGAAAAAATAGGCGTTTACAAAAAGTAATGTGTATATATATATATATATATATATATATATGTGTGTGTGTGAAATAACTTCTTCCTTCCTTTTGTCAAAAAAACTTCTTCCTTCCAAAAAAAATTTCTGTAATAATTCTTAAAAAAAAAATTCTAAACATTTATACCCTCCAATAACTCTCTGAAACTCCCTTCTAATAATTTTCTCTAAAATATTTTAATATATAAATAAATATTATTGTAAAATGAACTGTTACTGAAAATAATTTTAAAAAATAAATATATTAAAATAAAAGGATAAATTTGAATATTTTTTAATATTTACTAATTATTATTATATTTTCACAATATTATAAAATAAATTTTCTACTGAAAATAATTAAAAAAAATTAGATATATCAAAACAAATATTAAAAAATAAATTTTCTCTCTAATAAATTTTTTCCAATAAAAAATTGTAATTACTAAACTTTCCTTCGGCATATTTTCATATACAAATATTATAAAACAAAATTAAAATTTTCTTGCTTATATAATTATATAAGATTGTTTTTACTGTAAGTTTGCTGTCATCGTTAGGATCACCACATCTGAAGTATACCGGAACACGGTCCAACGAGTGTCAAAGTGGACAATATCTCGGATGCACTAACCCTAACGATGATAGTGGACTTACGGTAGGAATATTTGGCGCTAGAAGGAGGGCCTAGGCCACTCTTGTCCCTTAGCATCGACTGGGGAGCTAGTTTCGATATGCTTAAAAGTCACGTCGCTTAGGAGTCAAGGCTAAGAGTAGTTTATAAACATCCTCCCTCCTTAACCCACCGATCCTCCCTCCTTAACTCACTGAAACGTCTTTTAAAAGACAAAACTATGACGACTTAACGAGTGCCAAAGCAAACAATACCTATGATAGGATGACCCTAACGATGACAGCAGACTTACTGTAGAAACAAATATAATAACACATTAATATAAAAAAAATTGTAACATTATAATAAAATATTAATTACATTAATTTTAAACTATTACAATTTTAAAGTAATATATATATATATATAGCTGTGACATTTTAATATTAATATAACAAATTGTAATTGTTTACTAAATATTAATTACATTAATTTATTTATTATTGTCGATTTTGAAATAAGTTAAAATTAAAAATCTACATTAAAAAAATCAAAATTTATTAATTATTGTTAGTAATATTTTATCTATTTGATCACCTAAAATTTATTAATTATTGTTAGTAATGCTTTTATCCTTTTGACAACTAAGGGCTTGTTTGTTTTTACATTTTAAACCTAAAATGGAACTGTCTAATTTTGTCACTAGTTACAAACAAGCCCTTAGTTGTCAAAAGGATAAAAGCATCATTCCATCTGCTTTGGTTTGCAAGCCAGTCTCGAGTCGTATATTCTCGCGTGGTAAGTAAGCATAAACCTTTCATTATATTGGCCCAGTTTATTACAGATTAAAAAAGAAGCGGTTCTGATATAAAGTAATTTTCTGTTTGTTTATAATCATAAAAAGATATATTAAAAAAAGCATAATTGATTTATATTTGTTTATAACCATAAAAATAAAAGTAACTTTTTAAAAGAGAAACAGTTAATTTTATGAGAAGTTATTTAAAATCTTATTCTTAGAAAGGGAGAGTATAATTTATTATATATTTTAAACAAGAGAAGAAAAATATTATAATATTTACATTTTTGAAAAATAAGAGTATAATTTACTTTGGAAAAATTAAAGTAAATAGATTAAAATATGTATTTCAAACACGAGAGGAGGAGACTCTAGAAATCGTATTTGTATAATTATAATAATTATGTAAGGAGTTCCATGAGGGAAAGCATTTTATGGGTCTAAGCCACTGTCTCAACTAAATGAATTTGTTGGCAATGGATACAAGACAAAGAAAAGCAGCAATTCCCCCATTACCCCACCTCTGTATGTCTCACTCAGCACTACAAGGGAGCACTAGATAGATGCTAATAATTATTCTTTTTTTTTTTCATAAGATACTTTAATTTTATTTATTTATTAATGTGAAAGTCTCTACATTAATGTGAAAAGCTCAAGTCAAGAAGGGTGGAATATTATGGATACTTCTAGATATAAATAAAATTTCGAGAAGTCTAGAACTTTGAAAACATCTAGATATATATTTTTTTTTAAATGTTTTAGAGAACCATTTTTCACCGTTGGATAAAATAGATCTCTATCATTTTTATATTTTTCGATAAAGATCTCTATCATTCATTAAGGAGGTACAAAACCTATAACCATTTTCAACAAAGTAGATTTCAGTTCAGCTGAATGTATGCTATGTTTTCTTTTTAATCAATTTTTTTTAGTTGAATCAGTGAGTTTGGACTGTAGAGACTGAGAGTCAATCTTTGATTGACTTCTTATATCAAAGAAACAAATGAAATCACATTTTTGAATAGGTTTTGTTCACTATTATCCTACGCTGTTTATTACAATAAACTTCTTTTTTTACTTTTAGTAATTTAAAATTAAAAATGTTAATTTCTCATATTTAAAAATTAAGGATTCTTGAAAATATTTTTTGCATAAATTTTTTACAAAATTGTTCTTATGCAGAGGTGAAAATTTAACATTGTAAAATTAAAAAAAAGAAGTTTTATTACAATAAAAATATCATGTTATTTTAATTTGTTTAGTTAATACATTACAAATATTTGATTTTCGATTAACAATTATAAATATTTCTTGAAATGGTTCCGAAACAAATTTCAATTCACAAAAAAAAATGAAATAAATTTCAATTCTTATGATTATGATCTTCATGAAGATAATTTTTTGTCATAAAAGATTTTCTTATTTGTCAGATGCTTAAATGGCTAATGTTTAGAAATCGATATTTTTTTATTATTAAAAATCAAGATTCATTAATCACATTGTATACTGTATTTTTTATTTTTTGTAAAGATTTGACTTAAAACAATGATTTATATAAGTATATAAAATATAAAAAAACAATGGTTAGTAAATGTTACTGAGGTGACATTGATTCACTTCTATTGCTACACCTTCTAAATTGTAGTATAGAGGAGAGGAATGTCACAAGTGCAACCGTTTCACGTAATCGATTTTAAATTGACACAGGTTGGCATCCATTCTCCAATAGTAAATTAAACATCAAACTTTATTTGCTAAAACAATTCCATTCTTTTGGGGTTGGGGTTTCTTCTTTCTTTCTCTTTCTGATCTCATTTCTCCTTGGATATCACGATACGAAGGTAGTACTTTCTTGCAAGTTGTGTCACTAACCAGATAAACCAATTTCATTGGATTGAAATGAATGACTTATTCAAGGAGAAAAATATATTTTCGCAGATTGAGGCCAGAAATCACTCGTCAACACCATCAAATATACAAGTAACCCAATAACTGAATAGTTTGGCAGTGCCGCCAAACATTACTTTCAGTTCAACATGTGCATTATTATCTAAAATATTTCTTCATTTAATACATCAGTGGCAAGTTTTCAACCTTTTGGAAAATTTTAATGAAGTTCTTATACTAAACAATTTTGTAATTGGGTGTTTAATCTTTTACAGTTTTTATGATTGGATCTTAAAGTTAATAAAACTCTCATAATTTTAATTTTTTTTTTAAGTTTTAAAAGCCATATATTGGATTACAAAAGTTTTAGAAGATTAACGACTCCTTACAAGAAGTCGGAGATACAGTGATGTATTAAACTATTTCTTAAAACCGTTTCCTTTTTCAAATGCATGACTCAAACTCAAATTATGACTTTTGTTCAGCAGCAGCCCAATGATGAAGACTGTTGAAGGATTAATATGAATTTTCGATGGTCCTTCACTTGTAACTGTAAGGACTTGTCAATATATGCATGCTGAGATGATGAAATGTGTGGAATTAGAAGTTCTTGTTAGTTGAGGCTCGTTAAACTTACAAGGTTTTAAGTGTGCTAGGGTAGTGTTTTCGGCAAGATGATGTATGAGAGGTGTCTCTGAACCGAATCTCTTTATTAACTGTGTAGTTTATCAATGAATTACAGTCATGATCCTGTGCACCGTGTCAATATGAGCTGTGTTGCGTGGTTACAAAGGTTGAATAACCATGTTCCTAAGTGGGGTTGGCTGAGGTGAGCCTGACAAGGGTCCAGAACAGTTTCTGAACAAACAAGACCTATGCACTGTTTTATATGTGATGTTTTCACGAGTGTAAGAATTTGTTAATGAAAATATAAGACAATTAACTATTACACATGTCGTAACAGCACCTAAGTTTTGTCTTTGCCTCTTTAGGAACTGCTTTGTACTCCAAAAATTTTTGGGTGCATTTCTGTTATTGGCAGCCTTATGTGACATAGTTTACGTAACTTGTTCTATCTGCGTACCGTTGGTATTTTTATTTTATCAGGTAAACAAATACAGGATCAATGTGAAGTCCAATAATGAACAGTAAAAATTTGTTGCGAGATCCCAAAATAACAGCCTTCACTTCCAAGGAACTGAAATTCCTGACTTGAAAAGGGTGGCTTTTCAACAAAAATGATTGATCCTGACTTTGACATGTATCCGCCTTGCTTCTTTTCTGAGTCCACGACCTTGTTTGCTAATGCAAGTGTAATAGAAAGTAAACCCTCAACATAAGACATGGAAATTTGTAGAAGTGCCAAGTTAATGACTGCTACTATCACTACTAGTTATGATTTTGTAGATTTTAGTTTTTACCACATGATGACTCACTCACTGTTTGGTAGTCTCCGAGATGCAGAGTGTTGTCCTGAGAAATGGGAACATCCAAAAAATAGAAGATCAAGCATGAACCACGTGTTTGAAAGCTAATAAAGCCCCCTCCTATCTCTATATTTCCTCTGTGTAACGGGGATAGAAGGGTTTGGTTTGGCGGTGGTTGGAAGGGCACAAAATGTTTTCCCATACCCTTTTGGATTCTTATCCAATTTGATGGAATGCAGCTAGGCAATGACTATCTTCACCTTTAAATTAAATTCTCTATCTAGTTTGATTTGTCTTTAGTTTAGCTTCTTCTATTATTTTTAGCATTTTTTTATTCCTACATCTAAGACTCCTATTTCCAAACTTGGATTATATATAGGAGAAAACAACATGTGGGCAGATATTTTTAATTTTGACATGCTAAATTCTCAATGGCCATCTTTTCTTGAGCTTTTTAAACCTCTTTGGCCTCACACGCTACATTTTTTAATCTGAACAGGAATGAGTAAAGGAATAAAAAAAGGTTCAAAGAGACACATAAGTGTGCATGACATCAAGTCCTGTGACAGCTTCCAAGCAGACAGAGTTGAAGGGAGCAAACCCACATAAAAAAACATCATATATGATATTTTAAAATAGGGGATCCTTCCAAACGAGATAAAGTTGACATACTAAACAAAATGGGGCATGTTCCTCCGGGTCAGGAAGATCTCGGGCAGGATCTCCTGAGCTTAGCAAAAGATTTAAAGCGATGTATATGAAATATTCCAACATAAATATTAGCATTTCCTCCTCACCTTTCTACACTCTCCTTATTACCCATACCTCAACTCTCTTTATCATCTTTTATCCCTTTTGGAAACAGATTAAGCCTTAGCCCTTAATTCGTAATCTTCAGGAAAACACTAGAACTTTCAGAATTAATAAGGCCTTGTCCTTATTGATGATTAAACCCTCTGCCTCCTAATTTATATCACAAATTTCTAACGTAAAAATCCAAATGTAGATTAAACAGAGACTACCTAATCAACTAGGATGACGTGGTCTTCATCTGAATTTGCCGTGTCAAGAGATTTAGTGGGTAGCACTACATTTTGTCTCGCTTCACTAAAAAATTCAGTTTTGAATTATGATTAAAAAAAGGGGGCACCGTACAATTGGTTTACTACATGCGTAATTAATTTCATTCACGCCATATTCCTCCCATTGTTACGCGCTTTTTTTTGGTTTAGTTAGCTTGTTAATTTTCGGTGCTTATTTAGCATTGTGAGATGTGCATGTCCAAGTTTTCATCACAAATTTAGTGAGATTGGAGCAGATTACTGTCATCTTCCACAGTATTACTTAGGACAAACTTTAGATGATTATTCTGTTCGTAGCCGACGAGATCTAAACTATATAGGAAGATTGAGGAACATGTTGTCAACCCCGAGATGTACTTATCTGCTAAAGAAATTTTGCATTTCCAAAGCACTGAAAGCAGGTATCTCTGCCCCCTTGAATTTTGAACATGGACACACAAGATCAACTCTACTTAAACCGTTAAACCTAACCAGGCATCTGCAACTATATCCCTTGATGTGTAAAAGTTGTTAGTGTTTTATACCCTGAGAGAAAAACAAAGGTTTGGCAATTTTGGAGAATATGGGGTTGAAGAATTAAATATTTGTTTCATTTATTTGTTTGGCAAAAGTTGCTAGCGCTGCTTTGCTGATATAAATTGAGCATGGGCCTCAGCCTCATCAATCAAAAACAAGGATTGAGCATGCTTACACAGAACCTGCCTAACTTATCTATCTTGTGTGCACTATTCATTGACAAGAACATTAAATTATGAAACAAAAAAGGTTTATTTCTAAATTTTCCTTTCAGGTTGTTTAGCATTGCATTGACAGCTAAGAGATGCAATAAAAGAAAACAAAGGAATAGAATCCCTTTTGAGATCAAATTCCTTCTACACCATCAATGATTCTGTGCCCCCCCCATCGATCTTCAGTATCTTCCACTGGAACAGGTTGAATAGCAGATGTAGCTTTTAGTATAGAAATAAAACTTATCTTTATATCATTCCCATCTCTTTCCC